AAATATATTGATAAGTATTGATTTCAATACAAATGTAGTTTTTATTTAGTTTTTTGGGCTTTAAGGCATTTTGAACACTTGATGATTAAATACTCTTAATAAATTAATAACTAGGGATTTGTTAAAAGTATTTAAATAATTCTAAAATTAATTTTTTTAATAAATTAATACACAAGCAATTCATCAAATTTAGTTAAATAATTTCACAAATATTCATATGGGTTACCTTTTTTTTTTAGGTGAACTTGAAAAATACTTTTCTAATTAATTATAGAATTTTTTTTAATTTGTGTTATAAAAGTATAAATTAAGAATTTTTAAAAAATAAATATTGATATTTATTTATTAATTATTTAATTAAATTTATTTACGTATTGATAACTTTAACATTAATGTCAAATTTTATATTTTTATATAGGTTTGTCTAAGGACACAAGTTAAGGGAGCTTTAAATGCAATTTTAATGCATTAATTTACATAGAAAAATAAAAAAAAAATATTAATTTTAACATCTTTAATATAAAGATATATTTTTTAGATAAATGATAAATTTAATTTCAACTTTTTAATTTTATTATGAGTATTAATGATAAAAAAAATATGATAAATATATTTTTATTTTATATCTTAAGAAGACAGAATAAAAAACTTTTTTTATATAAATTTATAATGAAAAATTATCATAAAAAACCCGTTAATTATTTATTATAGTCTACAAATTTAACTGTTCACTAAAATACGGCTGGAACGTGTTTCTTTATTGGGCCGTCGAAGATACTTAATGCTTCTTTCCACTCCCAATTTTAAACCCAAAAGTGACCCCCTTTTTCTTTCGAAAATAAAAGTAGCCGTTAGGCTTAGACATCCAGGCACCCAGCTAGTCGACAAACCGACAACACTACATCTACCAACTTTACTCGTAAACAAAACGGCTTAATTTAACAAATTATTTATTACTTATTATTTATATTTTATTTTAATTTAATATCTTAATTTTTTTTCAAATTTATCAATTAATTTTCAAGATTATTTTATTTTCATCTATCCCACGTAATTCCATTAATTCTATTAATGACATTTCACCAATGCTGCTACGTGACTGCCAACTTACATGGCAGTATGTGGCAGCACAGATGAAATTTTCATATACTGCTATGTAAGCACACACTTGCTAGGAAAAGTTTCCCGCCTCATTGTTTCTCTTTAAATTTTTTTGGCTACCATTTTCCTTTAATTAAAATAAGATTTGTGCTAAAAAAATAATAAGGATTTTTCTAGTTTGTGCCTAAAGGATACAAATTAAAAATATATTTTTATTATAAATGTATATAAAAAAATGTAAAAGTTAATATTAATTTTAATGTTAATACTAAGTGATTAAATTTAACTGAATTATTGATCAATTAAATGTTAATTTTTATTTTTTCAACAGAAATTTATGATGAAGAGATATATTTAATACACCTTTAACGTATACCTTAATGGTGCACGTTAAATAAACCCAAATAATAAAACTAAAAAATAAACATCTTAAAAGAAGAATTTTTTTAACAAGAGTCCTTAAAATACAAATTAAAATATATATTTATTATATTTTTTTATTATTTAAGTTTGTCTAACTTGTGCCTTAAGACTACACGTTAAAGGTGTCTTAATACACTTTTTTGTCATAAATTAATATTTAAAAAATAAAAATCAACTTTTAGTTATCAACTATTCAATTAAATTCAACCACTTAGTATTGACATTAAAATTGATATCAACTTTTATATTTTTTTATATACATTTATAATAAAAAAAATATTCTTATTATGTGGTCTAAGGGTACAGGTTAGAAAAACCCTAATTATTCTTTTAGTAACAAGTTTGTTTTAATTAAAGAAAAATAGTGGCAAAAAAAATTTAAAGAGAAACAATGAGGTAGGAAATATTTCCTACCACCTTACAGCTTACATAGCAGCATGTGGCAACACAAGTGGAATTCTGTTAACAGAATTAACATAGTTGTGTAAGATAAATGAAAATGAAACAATTTTGAAAGTTAATAGATAAATTTGAAAGAAAATAAAGATACTAGATTAAAATGAAAAAATAATAATAATAAATAATTTATTAAATTAATCCTAATCAAAACATGTATTGTCCCCTGATGTCACGCTCCCGCCAAATCTACGAGGTGATTGGTTAGTGAGGGTTACCCCTGTGAGGGTTATATCTTTAAATTTTATTAAATTAATCTTTTTCATTCTTTATATATTTAAAATATACACTAATTGCTCTTTTTAAAGAAAAAAACAAAAAAACGTTTATTTTTTTCCCTAGAATAAGGTTGGCAATAAATTTTGGATTCGTGGAATGTAATGTGCAGATAACTAAGGGTAAGTTAAGGAGCACAAGCTCTCCTAAATACTTATAAAAAATTTAGTTAGATCCCTTATATTTTTATTTATTTATTTTATATTATTTTAATTATTTTCTAATATTTTTATTATTGAATATTACTTTTGATGATAATGAGGATGATAAGGGAAAATAATGAGAATATAACTATGGGAAAAATTAAAAATTTAGTTGAATCAAAAAAATTCTTTATTATCATATTTTTATAATTTTTTTCATTAATATTATTTTATTTCCCTCCTATTAATATAAAATTATTTTTATCTTTTAATTAATGGTGTTTTTTTATAATCCATTATCAAACATTATTAGTTTATTGTAAAAGGCTAAAAAAATTATTATTTTACCTTTCAAATTGACACACAAAATTGTTGTTTTTTGTCATAATTTAATTTTGCACCTTGAAAATATTTTCTGGCTTTGCCATTGGCTGGCAAATAAGGTCAAAGAGGACTGCTTTCATTTTACAACTTAAACTAAAAAAATTAGTATTTCTCTAGCCCAATTTACTTGTCACACTTTTTAAAGATTAGTGATGCATAGAATGAAGAGATTGGATGAAAGATATGACCTACAAAAAAATTAGGCAAAAACCACCTAAAACTGTGATTTCAATAAATTTTTATTGAAAGATATTAAAATGGTCACTTTTAAAGGCAATAATGAGACTATTTTAGTCATTTTTTATAATTTTTTATTAAAATAATATAATTTTAGAGTATTTCTCTACTTAATTTTTTATAGGTCATCTTAACTTGATAATTTTATATAGAAAACAAAAGTCAACTGAAAATTTTTTTTAAATCTAAATGAAAATACTTAACAAGAACTATATATATAAAGAAAACAAGTTAATTGTCCTCTTATTACTATATATTAAATTCAAGTCAAATTAGAATATCTAAATTGGACTATTGGAAGGCTGTAAAGTAATTAATCAAATTATTGATAAAAAGATGTTTTCTCACCTATTTAGTTAAGATTCGAACTCTCATTCTCCTTGCTTACCCCTCTTCCTCATGAGAGTTTTAATTAGTTAGCCTCTCTCATCAAAAAATAAAATAAAAAGCTAAATCAAACCAAAGACAGTACCTCATCAATAATTAAGGATAAAATTAGAGAAAGTGAAAATTAATCCTTTATAATAATAATACAAAACTAAAAATCAAAAGTAGAAATTAAGTGGGATTTACATTATGTTATAACCATTTTGTGACTGTGATGGGTTTTTTTCACATTTAATGCATGGTGAAGAAATTTTTAAAAAAAAGAAGAAGTTCTAGTGATTTTTCTAATAAATGTACTAAGAGTACAATTAATATATCTTTTAATTGTTAAATTATTAAAAAAATTTACTTTAATTTTAATAACTAACCAATTAAAATAATACACTTGGCATTAGTTCTAAAATCAATATCAATTTTTTATGACTTAATGACAAAAAAAAAAACATTAATTACATCCTTTAACTTGTTCAAAATCATTTTTTATCTTTAAGGCACAAAATGAGGGAATTTTTATTATTTGATTATTGTATTTTTTGATAATTAATTATCTAAAAAATATAAAAGTTGAGTTTGATTTTATTGACAATACTGCAGGTCAAATTATTATTGGTGCTTTGATAAAAGTAAGGTTAACTTCTTTATTTTCAAGATAATCAATTATGAAAAAAAGCATAATAGTTAGACTATAAATATTTTCTTATAAT